GGAGAATGGAGGAGAAGGGATTGCGGCGTGACCATCCCCCCTGGGGGGTGATTTCTCGCTTTCTGTCTCTATGTCTCTGTCTGGCGAGCGCACGCACCCTATAGTGAAAACCTCTCCAAAAAAAGAAAAACAAAGATTAGCCCCCAGAATTTATTACTGGGAAGACAGGAAGGACTGAGGATATATGAAGTAATTAGCAACAACGTAATGGTGTAACTCTGAAACCAAGAAGATGTTTACTTAAAGTGTAGATGGAAAGATGTAGAGTCAGAGAGGATCTATAAATTTAGTGAGTCTTTTTTTATAAAGAATTATTTTATTTCACTTTATTTATTTATTTATTTATTTATTTATTTTTAATTTGACCAGAGAGGAACAGAGTGAGAGAGAAAGAAAGTGAGAAAACAAGCCACCAGGTCCAGGACTTGAACCCTGGTCAGCCATGTGGGAATCCAGCGCTTTTAACCACCATGCCACCTGCTTGCGCCCATGTAAGTCTTAAAGCTGGTCCTTAGGTCAGCCAGGTGGTCTAGTGGTTAAGGCCACTGGATCCTACATGGCTGAGTACGTGGTTCAAGTTCTAGATTTGGCTGCTTGGAAAATTGTGTGTGTGTGTCCAGAATTCCAAAATCCTGAGAGGAAAATGAAGAAGGAATTGCAGAATGGCCATGGCCCCTGGGAGTGATTTCTCACCACCCCCTCCCATCTCTCTTGTGTAAGTGCGCGGGCCCCATAGCAAACACTAAAAAATAATAATTTAAAAAAATGATAAAGTTAGCCCTTAAATCTCACTTAGAGAGGAGAAAAGATCATGCTCTGTCTGGGCTAAGAATATAAGAAATAGCTGAGGGAAAAGGCTCGGGTCAGGGAACAGTGTCCCGGCAGCCCCACTTGGCATAGAGCAGAATCAGATTTTAGAAAGATTGTCTGCTGTCTTCCAGGCAAGTAAATAAAATGTATTTATTTTTCTAGGCACTTGTGTTTTCCTAAAAACTCTGAGATAGACAGCATTTTATCCCCACGTACCCATTTAAAACCAAGGCTCAGGAAACTGAGCCACTCGCTGAGATCACTCAGCCTGTGAAACCCACCATGCGGCCCAGCTGTGCTGGCCTCTGAGTCAGTGATCATCCTGTCGGGCCTTGGCCTCTGTTCATTTAGATCGATCCATTGGGAAGCACGTAGTGTGGCTTAATAATTTAATGAAGTTCAATAACCTTCCGTGTAGCCCCCCTTTCTCCCTCCCCAGTGAGGGCCACGCTGCAATCCTCTCCATTCTCGTCCTAGGATTTCGGGCTCACTCACACATGTGCTGGGCATGAGTTTCAAACCCTCTCCAGGAGGAGCCAAGGTCGGCCATGTGGGAGTCCAGCGCCTTCACCACCACGCCACCCACAGGCCCTATCTCTGCAGTTTTAATGTTGACTACACTTCCATGGATTACTGGGAAGCGGTTTTCGTTTTCTTCACAGTCATTTAATTCTGTCACACACTGTCTCTAAATGAACGTCCCCTTCTAGTCTGTCATATCTTCTAAGAAGTTACTAAGTTTTTGTGACAACTGCCTGATGTCACTGAAGCCTCTCAGAGGCACTTCCAGCCTTCCACACTGAGTGTGGTAAGAAAGGATTTGATGGAGTTCATAACAAGGGGACCTTGGCTTTGGTGGTGGCTCCATCACAACGTGTCAGACAGGTAGCCCTGTTACCTGTGTGCCTCAAGACCAAGGGTGACAAGTGCTGGCCTCATCAGAACTGATGGAGCCGGAGCCATCCTTTGGGGAGGTCCCTGCCAGCTCTCTGCTGAACATACAGATGGCCCTGGGATCCAACTTAACCAAAGAGTCAGAATGGTCTGGCTCTTCCTCCAGCGGCGAGTGGGCTCGGACCAGGACCTGGCCGGCAGACTCGCCACCCCTACCTGCAGTGGCATCGCAGAGGTGCCCACCCCAGCCCGGGCCACCACTAGTAACTTTTTTTAAAGAAACATTTTTTTCTGTCTTCTTCCAACTTCTCTTCCTTTGTTTCTACTTCATTTTTTTCTCCCCTTCATTTCTCAGTTCTTTCCTATCTTCTCTCCCCTATAGCTACTACAAAATTGAGCCAAAATATTTACTTTATTTATCTGAAGATGTCTTCCCCATTCTGTGAACGCCTTCAGCCTCCCACTTGCGTGGGTCCAGGCAGCGCTGCTGCAGTGCGCTGTCACGCTGGTCTCCCACGGTCGCCTGCAGAGCAGTGCCCTGCCTGCCTGGCAGCCGGCCTCAGGGACACCTTTCCACCCTCGTCTGTAGTTCTGTGTGGGGCACGTAGCCAAGAACCTTTCCCCCCTCCGAGGGCTTGTCTACTACAAATTACTTAAAGCCATGGCTCCCTTCTTGCTCACCCTAATTTAAAGTGAAACAAAAATGACACCTGGTGGCAAATCTGTTCAACTACAAGTTTTATTTGCAGCTTATTGACGGCGTTACAAGAAATGTACAGTTTCGGAGAGTTTAAGCCAAAGGATGGGATTGACATTGGCTATAACCTCAGTCATGTTTTACACGATTTATCCAAAATGTGCTCCAAGTTCTGTCTGCTTAAAGTTTCATTCCTGTGCGGCAGGATCATACAGGCAGTGCAGAGTATCAGTATTTCCTCATCCACATGACTCTTCACCACTTATGGGAAATCTAGGCGTTGCTTTTGTTTCACCTATATATTCTGTATAGTGACGCTTTTTAAAAAAATATCAACTTTATTACTTTTCTCCATCCTATTACCTTTTTTAAAAGTTTATTTCCTCAGAGAGAAAGGGAGAAAGAGAGGACCGTGTAGGCAACTTCAATGGGATCCTCTTCATGCTAAGATGCACCCCAGCCTCAGCCACCCTGGTCAGAGATGTGCATGTGCTCTTGGCACATGGGGAATCTGCGAGGTGCAAACCTGGGACCTGTCCACGTGGGTCCAGCACCTCAGAGAACTGTTTCTGCAGTGCCCCCAATGGCCCACCCTGTTAGCTTTGCTATTGTCATACTTTGGTTAGCTTTTTTTTTTTTTTAATATATTCTTTCCATAGTTTGAAATGTTCTGTGTCCTATAGACCGGGGTGCAGTCTACAGTTAAATCTTCATACTAATGATGCACTTTAACTTGAAAACTGGGCCAGCAGGTAGCATGGAGGTTAAGGTGCTGGACTTTCACATGGCCGACTGCAGTTTGAGTCCTGGGCCTGGCAGCTTGCTTTCTCACTCTCTGTCTCTTTCTCTAGTAAGAATATGTACCCTCTAGCAAATTAAAAGAATAGTAAAATTAATTTTTAAAAAATTCGAAAACTGGGAACCAGCAGTTAACGTAATGGCTATGTCGCTGGACTCCCACGTAGTCGACCGCGGTTCACGTCCCGGACCCGGTGGCTTAAAACTCACGCCGGGTGCGTGTGCGTGCGTGCCCAAGATCCCGAGAGGAGAATGGAGGAGAAGGGATTGCGGCGTGGCCATCCCCCCTGGGGGGTGATTTCTCACTTTCTGTCTCTATGTCTCTCTATGTCTGTCTGGCGAGCGCACGCGCCCTATAGCATAAAACCTCTAAAAAAAAAAATCGAAAACTAATATTAACTGGTACTTAGTATGTAATGTTGTCTTACCTCATTAAATCCTCCCAACCACCAGGAGGTAGATACTAATATTATCCACATTTAATAGGATAGGGGACTGAGGAAAGGGGACTGTTCAGCTAGGGAGAGGTGGGGCCGGGACGTGAAGCCTCTTCGCCCCTGCACTACGCTGTGTCTGTAAGAGCCCTGTCCCACTGACCTCGGTTGAACAATTACCGCCCCCTTCTGTTGTCCTACTTCTGCGATTTTTAGTAAGCTCATAAATATTTGGAATAATTGCTTCTTGGAATTTCAGGAATATTCTGTTGTTTAGCTTTTCTGTTTTAAAGCTCATACCCTTCCATTATACATCACTTTGAAACAGATTTTTTAAAACACACTATCATTATCTTTAGTCAGATCCTTTGCAAAAGTTATACTTTCATATTTTCCCTTGTACTTTAACAAAAAAAAAACCTAGACGTTTCTAGTAAATAGCAATGAGACTAGGGCATCTTACTCTGATTCCTAGTTTCATGTTTGTTTTCCAGGGAAATGACTGTCCACTAAATTCATTAAGTGGGAGCTACTTACTGGCTTTCAGTAGGTGTCCATATGTATCTACTCCCCGCGCTTTATTTTCAGCTTGAATTCTATAAGTCATCTAATGCTTTATACATGTGCAGAGTATAACGGCGCTGCAAGGAGGGGGCAGTTCTCTCTGAGGCTGGGAAAGGCTTCAAAGCTGAGGAGCCATCTGCCCAGATTTCAGGAATTAAAGATTCAGTTCGACTTTGCACATACCCTTCACAGGCTGATCAGACGCCACTCAGTAATATCAGCTGGACGCCTGTAGAACTTCAGCACTTCACCTCCTTTTTCAGGGAAGACTCAAAATTTGATTCTTGATTTCAAGGTGTACAAATGACTTGGGAGCACATAAAGCTTTCCCAAATAGGATTTTTAGAGAGTAAGTAAAACTTTGTTGGTTTTTTTTTTTTTTTTTGGAGAGGTTTTTGCTATAGGGCGCATGTGCTCACCAGAGAGAGACAGAGAGACAGAAAGCAAGAAATCACCCCCCAGGTGGGGATGGCCACGCTGCAATCCCTTCTCCTCCATTCTCCTCTCGGGATCTTGGGCACGCACGCGCACGCGCCCGGTGTGAGTTTAAGCCACCGGGTCCGGGACGCAAACCGCGGTCTACTACATGGGAGTCCAGCGACATAGCCATTACGCCAACTGCTGACCCCCAAGAGTAAGTAAAACTGAACGTCTCTTCCCGTTGCCATGCTCTCTCCACTCAGTTCTAGCACGACAACACAGGGTATGAGTTAAATGCAGTCACTTAACCAGGCTGCATGGCTCTGGAGTTGACAAAAGCAGAACTGAACCTCATGTCATTCCTGTGAATGTTCCCTGTCCAGGTCGGTGACCAGATTGTTGAAATCAATGGGGAACCTACACAAGGCATCACACATACTCGAGCAATTGAGCTCATTCAGGCCGGAGGAAATAAAGTTCTTCTTCTTTTGAGGCCAGGAACTGGCTTGATACCGGACCATGGTAAGTAAAGTACCCACTTGTAGTGGCAAAGTTGTGTTGGGGAGAGGACAGAAGGAAAAGCAGTGCCATTTGGAGAGTGTAGATATTTTACTGGCTTACTCAAATGTGAACACTAGAATCACCCACGTGGCAGAGTTGTTATAAAGAAATATAAGACAGGCAACTGAGCAGGACTTTTGTTGGAATAGAATATATTTTAAATTTATTTCACCTGCAAATATGTACTTTACTTGAGAACTATGCCCATAAAAAACAAGGACTTTAGAGACAAATTATTTAAATGTCATGAAAAACATGTTACGTCATTTCAGAATATCCCAGCTTTTCCCCCTCCTTGGCTAATTCCACATTACCAAGAAATGTTATTTATTTCCTTAAGTTTATATTGTAATGAAGTAACATAAGAACTTCAGGCTTTTCCAGTCACTTTTTATAAACAGGTTGTGTGTGCACCTAAAATCCCAGGAGGAGAAGGGACTGTGGTGTGGCCATCCCCCCGGGGGGTGATTTCTCACTTTCCCTGCATTGTGTCTCTGTCTCTCTCTCTCTCCAGCAAGGGCACATGCCCAATGGCAAAAACCTAAAAAAAAAAATGTTTCTGTAGCCCTACCTGGAGACAGTGAGTTGGACCTGAGGCTATATCCACAAGCCTGTGCTGATCAGAAACTTCCTTGGTTTTGTGTTTTTAAAGTCTCACAGTAGTTTTTTTAAATCACTATTTCTAATTGAGTGCGCAATGGAAGAGTTAAAGGCAGCACCACACTTGGTACTTATCTCCTCTAGTTTTCCCCACTGCCCCCCAACTCCCACAGCAGTTTTGAGGGATGAGAGATGAGTGTAGCCGGAACTTCCTACAGCCCCCTCCCAGCTTACGATTCTCTGACTGTATTATCTTCCACCATCTGCTTGTAAATCAGATGTTCCAGGTGACATCTTTGCTAACTGCACTGATTTTTTTTTCACATAGTCCTAGGCTTTTTCTCTTCCTTCTTCAGGTTTGGCTCCTTCCGGTCTGTGCTCCTACGTGAAACCTGAGCAGCATTAAGGCTTTCAGGGCTTTTCTTGGTCTTTCCTTAAAAAGACTTGGTAAATTTGCATGTCTTGTAAATCACTTCTTTCTTTTGTTTTCTTTTAAATTAAAAATGATGCTATTAAATTCATCTATTTCTATCTTCTGGCACTTTTCAGTCTCCTTTGACATTAAATTTGACAGCATTAATGCAAAAAAAAATTATTTACAAATGCCCATGAACCTCATTTTCGGTACCACAGTTTGGCCTCCCTTATTAACGTGATGTTGGCATATCCTTAAGCTATATCCATTGACAATAACTTCATTGGACCAGGTTATTTGGTCTAATTTTATTATTTATTTCTTGTTTCTTATTGGGCTTTATTAATAAACAATATATGGATTATCTGTTATCTCACTAATTATACATAATTGGAAAAATACTGTTATTTTATGTTTATAAACCACCTACTGTTCTCATAAGAACAGATGTCTCTAAACACCTGCTTTTACAGATATATGTAAACAAACAGACTGTGTAAAATAGGCTGTTGAAGCAGTCAGTGGAACTGAAATGCTATCAATGTTCAAAACTTACTGTCCCTATTTATAATTCTAAAATTTAATAATGTTCCACCCAAATCATTTTTAGGTGATTGGGATAGTAATAATCCTTCATCTTCAAATGTGATTTATGATGAACAGTCACCATTTCCCCCATCTTCACATTCTGCTTCCATATTTGAAGAGTCTCATGTGCCAGCAATTGAAGAGTCTTTAATGAGAGTTCAGATATGTGAAAAAGCAGAATTAAAGGACATTGTGCCTGAAAAGAAAAGCACTTTAAATGAAAAGCAGTCTGAGATAAAGTATCAGTCTCTTCTCCAGAAAAATGTGAATAAGAGGGACCTACCCAACAGTCATGGGCACGGCGACAAGAAAAATCTGTTAAAGATAGAAAATGGTGTCACACGAAGAGGTAGATCTGCTAGTCCCAAAAAGTCAGCCAATCGATACTCAGAGGAACATTCAGAAAAAATTCTCAGCCCTCTAAAAAATGACCGCACAAGACCCAGAGAGAGATCGCTCAGCCCTAAGAAGGGGGAGAATAGAAGTCGTCAGATCAGCACAAGGACAGATTCTGAGCAAAACCACTGCAGAAAAAGCAGAGGACGATCTTCTAGCCCGAAGAAGCAGCCAAAAACTGAAGGAAGCAAAGACCCATCAAACACTGGAGCCAAACCATTAGAGGGTCAGAGTCGAAGAGGAGTGGGCTGTGCTAGCGACAGTGCTGAGCACGTCGCGGACGGAAAAGAAGAGTCCAGTGTCATCAAGAAAGACTCAAAACAGGGTCAGCTGGGAAAACACAGAACAAGGTCTCCAGAGAAAAAAGGCAAGAGAATGGATGAAAAGTCCCTTCCGCCCAAAAAGATGAATAACATGATGAGTAGAGTAATATCTGAAAATGAAAAAGGAAAGAAAGCAACCATGGGAGAAAGAAGTTCTAGTACAGATAAAATAGGAGAGAGTGTCCAAGGAACAGAAAAGCAGAAGGAACCTGAAGAGAAGATGCTTTCAAACCAAACAGAAGGCCACGAAGGGAAGGAACTCGAGGTGGCTGACAAGATCAGAGAGAGTGGAAGGTTCAGACCTGAAAGTAGTTCTCCAGTTAAGAAAACACCAATAATGCCTGGGCCCTGGAAGGTGCCGAGCGCAAATAAAGTCACGAGCACTGCTGGTATGGCTGAGAAACGACTGTGACCTTCAGAATAAAATGAACACTAGTTGTAACCTTTTCTTACTAACAAGCACCATTTTTCCAACAAAACAACCCTCTTTTTTCCCAGAAATCCTGAAACACATAAGTACAGTTTAACTTAAGCATCAAGTTACCTAGGCTGCATGAAGGGCCTTTAGGATTGCTAAGAACTAACTGTCCCCCTGGCTGGCCGGCCGCCCGCGCTCAGGAAGGAGCTGCACCTCGCGCTCATCGGACACCCCTGCTCAGGCTGCCCAGCTCGTCTCCATGAGTGTCTGAACTGACGGCGTCTGTTGATGCTAACCATGTGGTCACAACTCACTTTGTATTTGTGCCAAGTTATCTACTGTATCATGTCTGTTTTACCCTTTTCATTCAGATATTTCCACGGTAATGAAAAAGTTAGGTTTGGCTTGGAAGTTGATGTTCTCAATAGCATGTTGCATGATTACAGAGAGAAATATTTGAGTCCTTGCAGAAGCAGATTAACTCATCATTAAAGATGGCAGTTGCCTGACCGACAGCTACCGGTGATGTCCCAGTTAAAACATAAACCTCTGAAACTTCAGTACTTACCAAAAAAAATGTAGTCAAGTATTGATGCTTTCTTATGTTTTTAAATTTTGATTCGGCTAGGTAGGATGTTTCAAAAAACTGTTGAAGATATTAGTTACAAAAAGAATGTTCAAAACAAGGAAGTCCTTTAAGCAACAGAGTTCAGCTCCTGTGGCGTTCCTCAGCCCCGATGTAGTTGTAGCATCTCAGGTGACCCTGTTTCAGTTATGTCATTATGAAACCACAAAGAAGCATGTGAAAACACTACTTAACTGCTCTTCATAAAAAGAACTACCAACTACGTACTCCTGGAATATTTTGGTTGTACCAACTACTAAAGTCATTAGTCTTCAATACATAATACGTGTTTAAAGAGTCAAAATCATACAGATTGTGTGAGGGACTTCATCATGAAACCAGTTTCACAGGCCACTGCCAAAGTACCGGCTCACCTGGTGTACCGCAGGTATACAGGTCCAGGTCTGGAAGCAGAGCGTGTGAAAGGCCTGCTCGGCAAGTAAAAGCTGTGATTATTTCATTTTTAGCTACATTAACTTTCTTACTTGAAAGTAAGAAAGGAAAACTAAACATCTACATAGCTTGTACAAATTTTCAGAGTTGTCTTCAAAAAGTCTAAAGATGTCTATTGGAAACTGGAGACAGTTTTAACTCCATAAAATAGGTCCAGGAATTTTAGTCCCCTGAAGCAGCATTCAGTAGCATCTATAAATAAAGGCACATTCTCAGAATAAAACTATTTTATGGAGTATTAGAACACACTTACTCTGTCACCCTGGATTCATCTTGTTGTGAAACGCATTATGTTCCAGGTCCTTCCCTCTGAGAGTCTGACTGTGAAACTCTTTAATGTAACAACTGTATCAGCCCCTGTAGATAAGACATGCTTCCCAGAGTGAGATTTCTGAAATCCCCTTTTCATCCAGAACTATATTTACCCACCTATTGTAACTACTTGAATAGAGCAAAATTAGGAGACTTGACAAATGCTAAGGATTTAGTACCACAGAAATGATTTATTTTCCCTCTAGTCCACAATTAGTGATACAAATCCTATTTTTATTGTTAACTGTGACATAACTTTAATGTCATATGTTGTCAGTCTGATGTGGCTCTTCCTTTCTAAGTAACCTGTCACTGTACTGATTATATCCTGACTTAGCAATGTGGCCTTGGAATGCTGAGCAAAATATGGATGTACTGGTTGTAAATGTTTATATATTGTACAGTACCTTTATATATACTTGAGGTTCTGATTAGAGAAAGAGATCTGTAAATCGCTCGTTATTTTTTATATAGATATTAAAAAAAAAACAAAAACAAAAATTCAAGGCCTGAAATTTCTTTTACTTTCAGATTTGTTTAATGTTGCTTTCTATTTGTGGTGCTAACTTTCATCATGATCTGAATATCAAATTTTTTTTTGTCTCTCCAAGTAACAGACATTCAAAGTTCTACAATCAAGACTCTTACACGATCTCTTTATCTGTATGGAGTACTTTTATCTGCGTGTTAACCTTAAAACTGGTTTGAGACAAATATTATACCTGTTTATTCACCATTTACTGTAAAGAAAATAGATTTGCATAAATAATGTTCCTTAGGGACCAGCAGTTAGCATAATGGCTATGTCGCTGGACTCCCACGTAGTCGACCGCGGTTCACGTCCCGGACCCGGTGGCTTAAACTCACGCCGGGCACGTGTGCGTGCGTGCCCAAGATCCCGAGAGGAGAATGGAGGAGAAGGGATTGCGGCGTGACCATCCCCCCTGGGGGGTGATTTCTCACTTTCTGTCTCTGTCTCTGTCTGGCGAGCGCACGTGCCCTATGGCAAAAACCATTCCAAAAAATAAATAAATAATGTTCCTTAAAAAAAACCTTTTTCGGAACCAGCAGTTAGCGTAATGGCTATGTCGCTGGACTCCCACGTAGTCGACCGCGGTTCACGTCCCGGACCCGGTGGCTTAAAACTCACGCCGGGCACGTGTGCGTGCGTGCCCAAGATCCCGAGAGGAGAATGGAGGAGAAGGGAGGAGAAATCACCCCTTGATTTCTCGCTTTCTGTCTCTATGTCTCTCTCTCTCTGTGGCAAGCGCACGTACCCTGTAGTAAAAACCTCTGGGGGAAAAAAAAAGGCAGATTATAAAAAAAAAAAAAAGAAAAGAAAAGAAAAAAAAACCTTTTTCACACTGTCAGAGAACAGTTTTGTCTTATTGGAAAGACAGTAATTCTCTCTCGTGATCAGACAGAATGGTAAAGTATATAAGTTCAATTGCCACAAGGCCACAAAAATCTAATTCTTTTTTTTTAGAGGGGTTTTTGCCATAGGGCACATGCACTTGACAGAGACAGCAAATCAGAAAACAAAATCACCCCCAAGGAGCATGGCCATACTGCAATCCCTTCTCCTCCAGACTCCTCTTGGGATTTTTGGCACGCATGCACACTTGCTTGGCATGCACGCCTAAGCCACCAGGTCCAGGACTCAAACCACAGTCAACTACATGGGAGTCCAGCAACGTAACCATTATGCCATCTGCTGGTTCCAATGAAAATCTATTTCCTGAGATTATGGCAATCCACGTTATTTTTAAAAGGCCTTTTTTTTTTTTTTTCCACTTTTTTACTATTAAAATGAAGTGTTTTGGCTTGATTCCATTTATATTTATCGCAGTATGAATACTTTTTTACTATTAAAATGAAGTGTTTTGATTCCATTTATATTTATCGCAGTATGAATGATGCCTAAAACTTACTTTGAAATCATGGCTAACTTAATACTCTTGAGGAGAAAAATACCACTGCGTAAACTCAGACTAAAACTCAAACTCAAGGGACCAGCAGATGGTATAACGGTTACACTGCTGGACTGCCATACAGCCGACCACAATTTGAGCCCCAGACCTGGCAGCTTGGGCACATGTGTGTACATGCCCAAAATCCCGAGAGGAGAATGGAGAAGAAGGGATTACAATGTGGCCATCCCCCCTAGGGAGTGATTTCTAGCTTTCTGTCTTTCTCTGACGAGTGCATGCACCCTATAGCAAAAATCTCTCTAAATAATAAAATAAAAATAAAACTCAAGTTCTGGGGTCACCAAATGGTGCTGAGGTTACTGTGGCTGTCAGCATGCCAACAGCACAGTTCAAGTCTCAGACCCCGTGGCTTGAAAATCACCATGTGCGTCCATGCGTGCCCAGTGTCTTGAGAGGAGAAGGGATCGCAGGGATGGCCAGAAGCCTGGGGTGACTGCTCACTTTCTCTCTCTCTCTTGCATACACACTACAACAAAACGTAAAAAAAAAAAAAAAACTCAAATTCTTAGTTCTCAGACCCCACAGTCGATATGGGTCATAGTAAGGGCTGCAGAACGTAGCAGCAAAGTCATTTTGTCATTGTGGACGTATTTTCTTTCTTACTATCACAATAAGCAAAAAAGATTTAGGGTACTACTACATTGTCTCACTAGCAAGATTCAAAGGCTAAGACCCTATAATTTCGTCGTCTAACCGTCATTCTTTATAGACCAAGCAGCTTTGGAATAGGGTCCGCTCCTATTTCAGAAGTCTTGGACCCAGAAAAAAATTTGGCTTTTTTAAAATATATATACAAAAATAGCTTAGCTATTTCCTTTATTTCTACTTGAGACTATCTTGATTATTTCTTCTTTTTTCTTTAAGGGATTTTTGCTATAGGGTCTGGGTGCTCGCCAGAGAGACAAAGAGAAAGCGAAACCAGGGAGGATGGCCATGCTACAATCCCTTCTCCTCCATTCTCCTCTTGGGACTTGGGGCACGCACGTACACGTGCTGGGGTGAGTTTCAAGCCACCGGGTCTGGCACATGAACAATGGTCGGCCATGCGCGAGTCCAGCGTCGTGACCACTACGCCACCTGCTGGCCCTGATTATTTCCTTTTTCTCATCACGAGATGTTCTAATGTAGTTAATTCAAGCTGTTCTAATGTAGTTAATGTATAACATGTCCATTATTCAAGGAAAGTTGGGTTTAAAGAAAGCAAGGAGTATTTAAATTAACCTGTATGATAGTCTGGCTAATGACTTTTACAAAGATGTGTTTAAGGAACACTGGTATGAACAGAGACACCTGTTACAAAGCGACACCCCAGTGCAGCACGAGGGATATGTCAGAGCAAGTCTTTACACCATCACGGCATGCTCTGATGCCTAAACTCTCTCTGTGCTTTTCAAATAAACAGATTAAATTCAGCAGCTCTTCCCTGGTCCTGCTTCCCTGGCTTAATTCACAGTACAGTGACTTGTTCTACACAGTTATTACATGAGACCCATCATCTTCATCCTACTGTGCATGTAGCCTGAAGAAGTACTGGGTTGTTGGGAAAGCTGTGACACATGTTGGCATGGTAAAACAGGGAAATATGTCATGACTTCCCCGATGACCTCATATAAGGGGATAAAAGGACTTTTATAAAAGGTTGGAATTCTATCTAATAGAAAACTGAATTTTTCTCACGTTTATATTAAACTAAGAAAACTTAGGCAAAGCGCTTTTATTTAGCCTAAACCTACCTTTTGACAAAGACACTGTGGGTAACCATTTTACACTATCTGCATTAAAGTCAAGCAAAACTACTAGTGAATTCACAAATCATAAGGTTTATTTTGTCCTTAACAAAGGGCAACCATTTGTTAACTTGATAATACCTTCTTACAGCTTATATGCTCCAGATACGCTGCAACAAAGGTATACAATTATTGCACACTTATGAAATTCAAACTTCTTTATTCACCATGGGCACCAAGAACTGCAAGAAGCAAAAGATTACTTAAAATTACTAAACAAGTCAGTCCATGCATAGATTAGACTAAGTTTAATGCATTTACTTAACATTCCCAAATCACACACTGATTTAAGAGTGAGACTCATCTGGCTATTATATAAGTGTGTAGACCTAAGTAAACATTTTCAAAAGTGAATTTCATTCATTTGAAAGAAGGCCCACTGACCTTTAAATATAATAAGCCAAAAATAAAAACATAAACCCATAAACTTACACTTTGTGATATATCTTGGTATTTACACAACTTTTCTACTTGTCTGAAAATCAAGAGAACCAGGGAACCAGCAGTTAGCATAATGGCTATGTTGCTGGACTCCCACGTAGTCGACCGTGGTTCGTGTCCCGGACCCGGTGGCTTAAAACTCACGCCGGGCACGTGTGCGTGCGTGCCCAAGATCCCAAGAGGAGAATGGAGGAGAAGGGACTGCGGCGTGACCATCCCCTCTGGGGGGTGATTTCTCGCTTTCTGTCTCTATGTCTCTCTCTGTCTGTCTGGTGAGCACACGCGCCCTACAGTGAAAAATCTCTCAAAAAAAAAAAAAAATCAAGAGAACCATACTCCATTAGGCAAACAGTTGGCTATTCTACTTTTTAAAGTATTTATACTATACATGGGCCGTAATGTACATAAATAAATTTGCAGATTATGCCTTCATAGCAATTCTAGGAGGGGTCATTTTCCCCAAAACAGCAGCAGTTTATAACATGAGGTCAACAGGTGTTTTTCTTATCTATGGTTATTACTGTTCCAATTAAATGTATGAATGACCTAATCTAGTTCTATTTTTACATCGTAGCTACATTTCTCAGTAACAGGTAAATATTACCAAAGAGTCTCATTCTTTTTTTGAAATAAAAACAAAAGCCCAAGTTCCTACAAAGCATTACACAGGGATAAACAAAGCACTGAGAATAGGAGAACCAGGAAATTAAACTCTTCCATCCTAACGGGGGGAGGAGGCAAGGCATGAAAGTTAAATGACGTTAGGTCTGTTCATTCAGCAAATCATTACTGAGCATGCATTACGGGTCAGGTACTGTTCTGAACTCTGAGGACCTAGGCGTGAACAAGAAACAGTCCCTGCCTTCAAGGGGCTTACATTCTGGCAGGGAAGAAAACAACCTTGCAGGAAAAAATAAAATAACCATGTTACTCAGGATAAATGCCATGGAGGAAAATTCACAGCACAGTGTGTAACTGATAACGGGTAGAATGGGGCGAACTACTTTAATTAGGGACAGGAGAGAAGGCCCCGCTAAGGAACTGACAGCAGAGAGAAGGTGCAACCAGCCAGAGATTGGCCTCAAAAAGTAGATTCCAGACAAAAGGAAAAAGCTTGTACAAGGCTGATACGTGAAAGAACTTGGTGGAAAGGAGGAACCGAGGGAGGCCGGTGTGCTGGTAAGGTGAAGAGTAAGGTTCTAGTGAAGCAGGTAAAGCTGAAAAGAGAGGCAGGCCTGATAATGAAGGGCCTTGGAGGCCACCTCAGGAAGGGTTTAAAAAA